CTTCCTGCAGATGGAGACATTAGCTAAGACCCCTGACTGGCCAATCACACGTTGTTGGCCCTGTTGCTGGAAGATGCTTCCCGGGTCATGTGACCTGGGGCATGCTGACAGGTAGCAAGTTGTTTTGAGCAACCAAATGAAAAGTCAGTGTCCCAGCTAGCCTTGGGGAGCGCAGGCGGCCTCTCGGATTTCCATTGAGCATTTACAATACAATACAAATCCCTGAGTTTCGGCTCATGCACGAGCGCAGCCGGGTGTTGTCCAGGAAGAAGGTCAAGTGGCACTTCAGAATTGAGATACGCCATCCGGCACGATCCAGCGGCGGAGCGAAAACGACTCGCACGTATTAACAAATGAGAGCAGCTCTGTTGAAGGAGCCCATCCTGAGAGGAATCTGCAGAAGCGGCAAGGAGCCGGTACACGCTGCCTCGCGGCCTTGCCCGCCCTTGTCACCAGGGGGCGGAGGAGCACTGCGTGGGCGGAGTCACCTTCATCTGTACAGAATAAGCCCGTCACGTCTAAATATAAACCACAAAAAAAAGAATGAATGACACTGACAAGAACAATGAGCCGCATGTGTAAACGAACCTTGAGAGCCTGAGCTGTATGCACGTCGCACGCGGACGTTACACGTGATGGCTGACCTCCCCGAGCCGGTGGTGGCGAACCGGGCCCTCTGCATGTTTATGGAGGGTTTTCATGGGGGTCCAGGGAGCATCCTGTCAGCTCTAGTGCAAATAAATCTACCTAAATGGGCCAGAATTCATCTGCATGTTTGGCTAACGGGATGCGACAGATGCTATATATAAACCTCGCTGTGTTGCTATATTCAGCCGAACGTTGTTTTCTGAGGAGCAGTGAGGGTGAATCTGAAGAGCTGCCCCCCACCCACAGTGCCCCCCCCCCCCCATGCCAGGAGCGTGTGGCTCCCTCAGGGTTATGCAAATAGAAGTGGATGGAACAGCAAAAGGCACAAGCTAGGCAGCAGGAGACCCCGGCAGCTCCGAGGCTTGGCAATGAGGGGGGGTCACATCTGCATCCCTCTGTAAAGTGCCCAAATGGAGGGGGGACAGAGGTGAGGAGTCTCATCAGCACAGGGGAGGCCGAGCCTAAAACAGGAGGCAGGTAAGGGGGGGGGGGGCAGCCCTGGGGTCCAGAGCCACCCCACTCCTGCCCTCCTCTAACGTGACTGGCCATTGGCTACAGGGCAGCAGAGCGTCCTCGGGCTGTCTGGGGGGGTCATGTCAGGCCCACGTGGTCCTGTGAAAGGAGACACCGGTGGTCCCGCCCACGCACAGACATGCCAAGTCCACCCACGAGCACCAGGGTTCATCCGCTGCTATTTTCTTCACCACCTGCTGCTTTGGCGGGGATAGATTATTACTGCCTGACCTCCATCTTAACCCCAAGACCCAGCCAAGCGACCTGCTCATAGCAGCCCGTCATCCATTCTACATTGAAGCTCTTTGAGGGACAGGCGGTCCCTGGACTTTTACTCGCTGGCTCTGCTCCCCCGTGCGGTAACCCATCACGCAGATGTTATGGGGGGTTAGGATGCAGTAGGAGTTGAGGGGGCTGAGTCACAGCCCTCCCTCGCCTGCCCACCAGGTGGCAGCAAGCACAGCCCCCATACATAACACGTGTTAAACGGCCTCATTAGCAGCACTCAGGGCAGCTCCGGCAGAGGGGACGTTCAGGGGACGTCATGGATCGCCACTTCCTGTGCTGAGTGGGCGGCTGGGCGTTCCGAGTTCGGCTCACAGCCTCACTGGAGTTTCCTATGGTTCTTCAAAACTTCACTATAAGCATCTGCATCCAGATCCTGCCATAGACCCAGGACATTGAGCTAATTATTCAGCTAAACTGATTACTGCAAGGGACAACATTTACATTTTGTTTAGCAAACGCTTTTAACCAAAATGACGTACAATTAAGACAGCAAGGACAGACGGTTAATGGAGCACCTGAGGGTTAAGGGCCCCTGCTCAGGGGCCCAACGTTGACATCACTCTGCCCGACTGAACCAGCGACCATCCGATCCATAGTACAGTATCCATGTTCCCCTGAGCCACACACACACAAACACGAGGCAAGCTGGATACAAAGCTGAACTGTGATTGGTTGGAAGGGTCTGTGGCCACGCCCTCCACCTCGCATGCCTAAAACCTCACTGTAGGGATCCAGCACCGTAATTCTTCATGGAGCAAATTAAGTGAGAAGTGGCTGAAGTCTTTCAGGGACGGATGAGTCAGCCGCAGTGGATGGTGATACAGGCGGTGCCTGGAGCCGGGGTCCGTGGGTGGGCCGCCGGGCTGCCGGCGTGGGCCCAGGGTAATTAACACCGCATCTTTACACGTGCGGTTAGTGCCAAGCACAGATATACCCTGATGACTGTTTACAGAGTAATGAGCTTGTGACGTTTTACAGGATGGCATTTCCTGATAGGGTTACTTACACTTTGCCAGTGTGGATCTGGCTAATATCAGAACGTTTCTGCACATGTTGTTTTATTTAGTTGAGGTTGGGCAACATGCTGCTATGGGAGGAAAGAACATGAATTCAGATGTTCCTGCAAGCTTTTGTTTCAATGTCAGTCCTCTGAGTTACATTCACATTTTTTGTACTGTAATATAATTTGCTTGATATGATCATTTCGCTGTGTTGTAATTTCATTAATTAGTTTGGCATGAGAAGGTACAGAAAGGCACTGACTGAGAGATAAGAGGGAAAAATATGGTGGGACTCTTTTTGCGATGTTTTTCTCTGGGAATGTTATTCCGGGACAGAGTCCCCTGGGTATGTCTGTCTGGGGACATCACCGGGTAACTTTGGGTTTGGTTCGTCCAGGTACCTTCGGTAGAGCCTATATTGGTGTCCGTGGACCATGTGCACGACCCAGGCCTGTTCGTTTCCAGTGATGGATGAGTGTTCTGCCTTCTCAGTGCTGGGGGGTCAGTGCTGGCCCTCCCACTGCACTCAAGGCATCCATCCTGTTTCCAAACGCTCTGACACATGCACCCCCAGCATCCCCCTACCCCCAACCGGCTTCCCTCTCTAGCAGCAGCTGATTAGACAAAAAGACAGAAAGTGAGTTTAATGAATATTTAACTGCAGGTTTAAATAAAGCCAGCAAGAGGCCCAGGGCTCAGTGTTTTGCCCCGACTTGGTTACACCGCAGGAAGGCACCTGAAAAAGAACCCAGCAGGAGAGGAGGCAAGGCTAATGGCGGATGGATGGGCGGGGGGGGGGGGGACGCTGTTCCCCTCACCTGCTGGGACACATGGGCCATCCATAGCACCCTCACCCACAGCAGAAGCTCTTGAGGGTACCCTGGAGCACCAGGCATTGTCATAAAGGAATCGTGTGTGTAATATATTAATGGGGAAGCTGTCCTTGTTTTAGGGCCACTATGGGCACGTACCAAACAATGGGGGGAAGCCGTCCCGGGTATAGAGCGACTTTGGGCATATACCAACTAGCGGGGGAAGCTGTCCCTGTTATAGGGCCACTATGGGTATGTACTTGGTATTTGGTATTCAAATAGCCGGGGGAAGCTTGATAATCGCACTCTTTCTTCGTCGGATCACACTGCCACCTTAGGCTCTTTCTAATAAACCCCCCCCCAATGGAAGCTTAAGTTGGAGAGGTCCACGGACATCCTGGAGCAGCCGTGGTGTCCTTTGAGCACCCACCTCTAGCAGGAGAGGCACAGAACGAGAGAGAAGCGATGGAGGGGAGGAAAAGGAAGTAGGATTCCCCAGCCTGGGAGCAAAATATCCCCAAGCAGCATCTAACCGAAACAGCTCCATGGAAACCATGAAACACATGAACCAAGCAAAATGTGGACAAGGTAAAATTGGAGAGGGCATCCAGCTGGGTCGGGGGGGGGGGGACTCAGAGTGGGGGGTGTCGCTGAGACCCCACAGCTGTGTCCGTCGCAGGTCCCTGCTCAGCGGTCACCTAATCGCCCGCGAGGCACAATCGGGCTCAGGGACACAATGGTCAGCCATTTCACGCGAATAAACAACAGGGTGGTAGGTAAATAAGCACGTCAGTCATATCTGTAGATGGTATTAAATCACAGGACCCCCTGAGACCTCTGGAGACGCCGGCTTTCATCCCGGGCTGTGCCTCCGTCTCTGACATGATGTGTTGGGCGTGGGAGCGCAGTGAAATGTCACGTAAACCCGAGCGCACGCCCGGCGCGTCTCACTAACAAAGCGGAGCAGAAACGAGTCCCTGTAATAAACGAGCAACTTGTGACATTTCACGGTCCGTAAATGAAATGAAAAACTTTGGACGTAAGACTTGCTGACTGCAGACATTTAGCCGAACTGGAGAAGTGGAGAATAATAACAGGATCCGTCTACAGAAGCATGCATACTGAATGATAAACGACAAAATTACTCCGTACCCGGACGTACCACACGCCCACGAGGCTGCCAGTCTCTCTCATGTATATAGAAACCTTCTCCTCTTCATTTCAGACCTTTTCGGTGATTGGGTGGGTGCTGCCCACATGTGACCGGCGACCGCCAATCGGGGGACATCTCAGGGCTCGACTGCACCTGATAGCCGTGGACATCAACGTGGACATCTATCCTCCATTTGTTCTACCAGCATCTGAAGAGATGTTCAGCTGAAGCTGCTTTGAACACTATGAGCTGGTCAACAGGTTCAGTCTGAAAACCTGGAGGAGGAGACTCCTCTGAATATGGTTCAGGGTGATATTTTCTACCAGTGGGGCAGGAGACCCTCATAGCTTGGGTTGTTACCAGTTGTAAGTTTCTGTATGGCAGATAATGGGAGGAATTGGCTTTTACCTGTTTTACCTGGCTTTTACCTCCCAAGATGCCTAGGAGCTTATGGTACTGCTTAGGATTGTATAATATATGCATGGCTCTGGTCTTTAGCTTTACACCCAAGTTCCCATGCGTCTACAACAGTTAATCAAACCCTGACAGACAGCAGCTATGGCAGGGGAGAGGAGGGACACTTACTTGAGCACATGCGTGGAGCCGTTGATCTGGGTGGTGGCGCAGGGGGCCCCGGGCCCCATGATGGAGGGTCGGCGGTAGCGTCTGTGGCCACAGCAGAGGATGATGAGGAAGGCACGGCGGAAGGATTTGTTGAGGAAGGCGTAGAGGATGGGGTTGAGCATGGAGTTGATGTAGCCCAACCACAGGCAGGCGGTCCACAGCTTGTCCGGCACGGTGTAGTGGATGAAGGGATCCACCACGTTGGTGATGAAGAAGGGCGCCCAGCAGAGGCAGAAGCAGCCCATGATGATACACAGCGTCTTGGCCGCCTTGGTCTCCGTGCGCATGCGGTGGTCCCGCCGGGCGTCGGCGCTGTCTGAGGATGAGGAAGCCCCCGCCGCCATGCCAGCGCCCCCCGCCCGCTGCAGCATGTTGATCTGCCGCGCGTGCTCCCGCGCCGTCACGTAGATGCGCTGGTAGGCCAGCACCATGAGGCCCAATGGGATGTAGAAGGCCACCACGGAGCAGGTGAGCGCGTAGGGCTTGTTGACCATGAAGACGCACGCGGTCGTGTTGCTGTCGCCGCTGGACTTCCGCTGCTCTATCTGCGGGGTGGGGGAGGGGGAGGGGGAGGGGGACATGGGTATCAGAGGAGGGTAAGAGCAAAGCCGGCTGCGGGAGCGTTTGTCATAGTTAGTGGCCTCTGTCTGAAAGCCCTGCAGCCTTGACAGACCCATAATGTCATTTTCTCTTTTGGTATTCAAATAATCAGAAAGCCTTTTCCCCCAAATGGCATTTTACTAAATTATACGCTGATAGTCGCCTTCATTTTTCCCTCCCTCATTTGATTATGTTTGCCCAGGGTCTGCGCTCTAAAAAACAGCCCCATTAACTCGGCAGTACAGCATTCGTCCTGACTCTGTCCATGTACCCCATGCTGCACGTGACCCTCGCGGCCCGGCCAGCCGCCTTTCGGCCTTGGCACCGCAGCACGTGGCCTCTGGCTCGCTGCGCGTGTTTCAGCCTGGAGTGGCGATTCTGTGCCTGCATGGGTCTGATGCTGTGACACGACGGCCTGTCAGTGGGAATCCACTATGCGCCACAGGGGGTGATCAGCACTACGCCAGGCCAGTGGTAACCATGGTTTCCTCATTGGTGGCCTCAAGAAGAGCCAATGGAATATGGCTGGCAACCGACGATCGCCCCAACCAGAGGGCGGGACAGCCATCCCTTGCTGGGCTTGAAGCCCATGCTGGGAGGAGGAAAAGGAAAGCTAATCAAGGGTCTGTATATAGACATAAATGAATAACCCTTAATTCCCAGCTTCCATAAACACCTTAGAGCCCAAATGATCTTCTGTGAACTTGGCGCACACATCCTAGCTGTAAGTTTGCTCCAGGGCACTATGCCAGTACCAGCCTATGTTATAACAGCTATCACCTGTGTTACATAAGGCCTGAAGTCTGTTGGCCTATTGCCTGAGATGTTTCGTAATTAAGCCTGATGTTAATTTTCCATGATTTACTATAATGAGCCCGTTCGGCTTTGTGTAGCTTAATTAATGAAAATATTTCTCAATTAATTCCCACAGTTACATATTGCTTTTTCTGTATAATATTTATTTAATACTAGGTTAATTTTATTTATGTATATATATTTGTATGAATGCATATTATTATGGTATTTATGCCATTACGGAGGCAGATACTAATTTTCACTGCCCACTTGCACAATAACAAATAAAAAAATCCTTGATGATGGGGAGAGATTCACGTGAGGAGTCCCAGAAATGGGCTGCCATCTTGGTTTCATTCATGTTGACACTGAACTGTAGGACAGAGCTGAATTACCGAGCTGCCCCTGCAATGGCCACCTGATGGACATAGAGACGGAAGATGTTGCCAATGAGGGACTCCAGCATACATACCCACCAGCCGTTTCAGTGGAAGAGGCTATTCCTTCACCACTGAAAAGGAAAGGCAATTCCAGGCGCTACAAGGCTAAGCCAGTGTGACAGAACATCATTCTTCATTCCTGTCAGTAGGACGCGAAATAAATGAAGATTGACCCTCAGCTTCCATTTGTAGGCATTGGTTGCATGTAAAATTAGTGGGCATTTGCAGAGCCATGCAGAGACTTTTCGTGGGGCTGATGCTTGATTGAGGAGGGGGGGGGGCACAGTATAATCCCACTGGCCTCCAGTTTGCTAAGAAGGAGCAGCTAGGACCTCCAAAGGGAGGCATGCTCAGTTGATTGGGCATGAAGGGCAGCTGCTTGCTCCGGCTCCCCAAGGCACCCACCCCCCCCCCAATGTTCCTGGTCATTCATCTTCCAGAGGAACATCAGACTTGGCCTCTTTTCTTAAGCCGTTGCTGGGTTTGTATTCTTTGCTGGGCTGGATCTCAGCAAAGTCATAATGTCATACATGGAAGACCAACTTGTCACAGGTGCTCAGACAATGAGCTGAAGCGGACAAGGGGTGGAGCTTTTGGTGTGTGAAGCGTAGGGCTCTGGGCAGTGAGGTCAACCTCAAATTCATGGTCATGGGGAATCCAGAGCCTATCCTGGAGGCTACAGGCACAAGATAACCCAGGATAACCCAGCGTAGCAACAGGGAACATGCCATTGAAAGTATCTCTTCCACATCTGCCATGTTGGAATAATGTTTACTTCAATGTAGGGGGACCACATGATACAATCAGACAATCAGCTGTAACTAGCAGGATCAAATCAGGGAAGGGCCACATGATGAGTAGGGACCAAGGGGGGCTTTTAGAGTCTCAAGAGCCTCCATTTTCGCTCATCCACGCTGCGACGCTGAAACAGAATTTCAGAAGTATATGGCCCTGAGATCATTGTCAAAAGATTTGGTTTTTGGAGGCTGAAAACGCTGGGGTAGTGTGAAAATGACGACAAATGTCCGTATTTTTAAACAAAAACGTAGCAGCCTATGCCAGTCAAAAAAAGAGAGGACCTCCCCTTAGGTAAATTGTGTTTTAAGTGTTTTACCTGGCTAGCTAACAGAAGATATTATGCAGGGATTAAGCAGCTCTTTGTTTTGGTTAGTTGTTTGAATGCATTTGTTTACTGTCAAGGATCAAAATCAAAGGTGTTATACTGCAGTCTATCATGGCACTTAACGTCTTTGCCTAAGCACTTTCATGGTACCCTGTAGGCAGGCAAAATAGTGGTTTAGTAGTCAGATACATGCATTAACACATATGGTAAACAAGATGCCTATAGATGTTAGTAGCTTCTTTTCCGATACTTACCAAATCGTTTATTCCAATACTGTTCCAGCCCTGCATGATGGGTAGGAAGGAGATGAAGCTTGGAATGACCCAGCATCCTCCCAACATGAGTGCAACTCTCAAGGGGGTCATTTTGTTCCTGTACACCAGGGGCTGGCAGCATATGGCATAGTATCTGAAAGAGAGCGTTGCCATGTCAGAGTGCCCCAGAGTGAGGCAGAGTGCACGGCAGAGTGCACAGTGCTTACGACTCAGGCCTGGGTGATGTATGGAATTCTTCCAGTAGGAAATGACAGGACTACAATATAAAGGTCTAAATGGATCTATCTATCTATCTATCTATCTATCTATCTATCTATCTATCTATCTATCTATCTATCTATCTATCTATCTATCTATCATCTGTCTGTCTGTCTGTCTGTCTCAGTCAGTCAGTCAGGGCTAGTGGTTATTAATCTTATGATACTTCTGGACAACAAATATTCCTACCCATCCTATTTTATCATACTTCTTACACTAATGGGCTGTAATACTTGCATCAGTTGGTGTGAGATCAGCAAGAAATCAGAAACATTTCCTGTTCCTGTCCAGTCTGCTGGACTGCCAAAGCCAGACTTTTACAGACATCAGTGACAAGATGCTGCTGTAAAAACTGCAGTCACTGTGAGCATCGCCGTTCCTGGGTTACTCTTCCTTAAATGGGCAGTTTGTGCAGAACAGTCAAAGAATTGTTTGCAGGACCTTTCTGTTCCTTAAGACCACGGGCTCCAAAATGTTTAGCCTACAATCCCCAAAATAATATTTTTATTGCAAAATTTCAACCTCAGTTTTGACTGGGGTGGGGGGTGGGGGATGTAGGGCCCCCTCGGTACATCGCGACATTTTGTCGATCAGGGGGTGGGGTTCCCCGTGGTAGAATTATCACAATCGATCATCTGCGATTACTGTGAAAACTGAAAGTTTTTTCAAATTTCCAAAATCTTATTAACATATTGTGGAAATCATCTCACAACCCATCGGTGTCTCATAACCGAGCTTGGCATTTAAATTAAGTTGTCCCCCCCCCCCCCCCCCCCAGTATCAAACTCTCTCTTATGCCCTTGGCTGGGAGGGTCTTTTCCAGCATGTCTCAGAATGCCTGATCTCACCCTAACATTCATTAATAACGGACATCATCTGCTGTTGCGAGTTACTCTAATGAACAAAGAGGAGATCAGGTGCAGGAGTGACCAGAAACTCCTGAGGTGCCGCTCTGGCTGCTCAGCACATCCCAAGCATCTCACAATCCTTCAAATCCAATCTTCAAGCACTGCTGGGGACCTCAGGTTTCCATGACAATGTGACCATGGCAACAGGCAGGAGATGCTCAACCTAGTGTTAAAATTCTGATGGCATGTTCAGGCGTGTAATTAATGGGCTCAAGCATGCAATGCAGTATTGGGGAATTTCAGCTTAAAAAAATAAGCCTGAAAATCTTAATGATAGAAAAGAAATTTGAAAGCAGGGTTTGTAAAGTTAGTATGATGATGAAAGCCTTTCATAAGGTTTTATGACATTTTAATGGGTTTCAAAAATACAAGATAATTATTATTCCTTTAGGGCTCAAAGCCCCTGTGACCCTGATCAGGATTAGTGGTTAGAAGATGAATAGATTAGTCAATGTAAAATTTACAGGAGGCAGTGTTTGCTGTTACATTATCTGTGTTTTATTTTGTTTTAAATGAACCGTCTCCCATTTCAGAATAAATATTTTTCAGTACCATTAATCATGAAATTGTAGTCAAAAAGACTAAACTTTATTTATTGATTGTTTGTTCAGCAAACAAAATCACTAATGAATGAGTCATTATTCGTTTAATTTGTCTCATAAATGTTTTAACAAAGATGACACTTGTTCAAATTAACTGGTCACCCAGGACTCCCAGGTGCAGAAATCCTCACACCCCACTTTCTAAGCATGAGTGTAATTCATAAATCCAGCCTAACCCCACTGTGTGATGGATTCTCTGCACAGCTGTCCCACATACCCACCCACACGCACGCATGCGCGCACACAAATACACACACACACACACACACACACACACACAGGACCCCCAGGAGAGTGGTCCTGCCCCAAGACAAAGTACAGCTGGAAGCCACACTTGAAAACCGCAGCTGAATTAGTTTTCAGGAAGTTTTGCAACAGGCATCATTAATGCCGGATGAGCTGACTGTCAAACAGAATCAGAGGTGGGCAGGGTGTTCATGGAAGAAGAGAATCCCAAGTGAACATCCATGATTGAGCAAGACGCTTATAAGACATGCAACAATGTCGGTAATATTTCTTTCTCTAGGAAATAAAAAGCAGAGATGTGCCTGGTACAATGCTGAATTCATAAGCAGGTTTGTTTTTATCCCCCCAACCTGGTAGTCCAGCTGACCGGTCAAGAAATGGGTTACCGCACTCAAAGCGCCCCCAGAGGTGCTTTGAAGAACTGCACACCTCCTATCTCCTGCTCACAAATGCAGATATAAGAGGTCTCCTGGGATTTCAAGGTTATTTTTTAGTCCCTAAAAATTACAGAGTTAGTCTTTCAGATACCCGTCCTTGCTGTTGTCTCTGGCTCCTCCAGCTAACAGTATGGATGGGGGATTGCCCCCCCCCATTGCTGAACACTGACACTGGACCCCCCCTCACTGAGGCCTCCCTCAATGAGCCGGGCCATGCTAATGCTAGCACTGCTTTGTCAGTGTTTGCCGTTAGCTGGATAGGCACTTAAAAAGCCATAAAGGGCCACGTTACTGTGGGATTCATTTCAGCACGGCTATCTCTGCTCCTGGGGCAATTTAGAGCTTAATCGAAGCCTGGATCTGCTTGCTAAGGCCAAGGATGCCTCCATAGGGTGGTAATGGATGTGATGTGGAGCAGGTTTTATGCTTATCAAGCAGGGATGTGTCCTATATTTCTCTTTCCAGCCAGAGAGCAAAATTTGCCTGGCTAAACAAAAGCTTTCATATGTGAGTTCCAACCGTTTTCTGGGTCGAGATGAACAGCCGTAGCCATCCTGGAGCGATGTGGGGGAGGGCGGGCGCGGCAGGGGGTTGATGCAGAGTGCTGTCAAATGCCCAAGGATGCAGCAATGACGTATTTGCACATAGCTTGTATTCTACCACATTCCCCCAAGGGCAAATACACGCAGACAAGCTGCCACATCACCAATCCACAGACATGGTGATGAGGGACGGGGCACTTAAGGAACTGTCGGTCCTGCATTCCTTTCTTTCCTCTCCTTCATCTGCTCAAAGGCACAGTGAGCAAACTTTACTCCCCGTGTTAAAGAGCATGCTCTTCTGCCCATCTGCGTCCCTCTGACTCCTGCCTGAGGGCGCTGCCTCCCGCTAAGATCTGCCCGCATCACTCTAGAAGAAGCTCTTGTCCAGGTTATGAGTGATCAACTGTTCCTGGCTTTCAGGAAATAACACAAAAAGTCCCAGATGGTGATTCACAGCTTCCTCACCCACCTGGATAGACTCTGACTCCCCCAACCCACCTAACATCAACCACGTGGAGCCACTTCATGTTTGGGAAGAGGGTCGTCACATGATTGCCGAACGGAGGAACGGTCACATGATTGCTGAACGGAGGAACTGTCACCTGATTATAACAGGCTAGTCACAGGATTACTAATACACATTTGTTCATCATTGCCCATTTAAGAAGTTTAACTGTGGTGGTAGATGTTGAGAACTTTGCTCCAGAGACATGAACCTTCTGGTTAGTCACAATGCTATCTAACGTCCTAATTCATGTGCTCATCATTATGCTGATCTTCAGTAACATCCCATCGGGCATCATTACTGAAATTTACACAGCCTCCATCCAGCATCTAGCGCCGGTGTAGGTCCTTCTCCACCGACCAGATGCTGAGAGCTCAGAGAGGCGGCTAGAGATTAATCTGCCTTTTAACTCAAGCTGGGATGTCTGGCTGCTCTTTACTTGATGCTGGAACACAGGAGGCTTCATGCTCAAGGTGACCTTTAAGTCTCAGATAGGAGCGAGGAGCTTATCTCACCCTGTGGATTTTGGTTCTATGCATTTCATTCATCGCTGGATTAGGCCAAGGCTCGGCGGGCCTTGGATTCTGATCCGACTTCTGATAGACTCGCGGTGCCGCAAATAGAACAGGTAAAGCTGACCTACAGGGAGCCAACTGACGGCAGCAAATCTCACCTTCCTTTGATAGCAGAGAAATGTCTCTTGCATTATAACCTCCTCAAAAATGACGTGACCAATCAGGACGCACCAGATGATTTGATAGACAAGCACTCTGCCCAATAAAAGAGGAGGAAAGCTATTTGACCTAGATGGGTTACTGAATATTTCCACTACATCTGCTGCACAATGTCAGCAAGGTTAAAAAAACGAGGCACTCGTGCTTCTATGCCTGTTTTGGAGCGAAAGCTTAGAGTGGGCTTTTGGACAGTGTTAGAGGAACTGATGGCTAGAGGAACTGATAGCTAGAGGAACTGATAGCTAGAGGATAGGCTAAACTGATTAGAGGGCTTGTCTTTAGCACCGAACGCCGTCTCTGCATAACCAGGGGCATTTCTAGGATTTTCATTTAAGGGGGGCTCAGCCCCCATAGATGTTTAACACATATTTGGCTTGTTCAGAATCAGTACTCAAATGAGTCTTCCTGATTCCTCATAAATAAGACAGTAGGTTCTACATTCAACCCCTTAAAACTTTATATCTACTAGGCTATTTATTCTAATTCATTAATATAGACAAACATTGTTTTAATGTAATTAAACAAAACATTAAACAAAATTAAACAAAACAACTTTTTTATCATTCTTTTTTTGTTTCTATTCATTAAAAAATTAACTTTTTCTAAATCAAAGTGACAAAAAACTCTACTCTAAGGCTAATAAATGTTTTTCACGATCTGGGACATTATTTAATACAATACAATATTTATTACAAAAATAACAGGATTTTTCTATCTCTGTAAATCACACTGCTATGCAGTTAACTTAGTCTGTCACTGTTTTTAATCATTTATGTGCATAACTCTATGGCAGTTAATGCCATGCACTGTGTAATGTTTTATATAGACAGTTAGGTTTTCCAATTAAAACAGCAACAGCATCATTGTTTTATAAAGTAGACTATAGGTTAATAGGGTTTGTATTAAGGGCTTAATTTTCGCTAGAGGAAACAGCTGGTGTGATGATGTAACACAGCGAAAATTTTGACATTTTTGTAAACTGTATTTATGAAAAAGGACTGCACTGATGCAGATATAACAATTTATCGAAAAACACACACCTTGGCTTAATCCTCGCTCTGTGATGCCGCAGTCTGTGATGCTTCAGTTGAAGACCGCGCTGAAAGACGGGGCGGAGCCGAAGTCTGCCGCCGTTTTCATATGAAATTTAAAGGGGACGTGGGCGATCACCAATTTGTGTAAAGTTTATGGAGAATTTTTAGCGACGCCCATGTGCATAACCTCCAGCATCTCCAAGCAAAAGCCATAAAACAACACTCAGGGCAGCATGCCTCAGGATGGGGGGCACAGGTTAACGCGGCGTTAAGTGCTTAAGGGTATGCTGCCGGGAGTCCAGCTGCACTGTGCTCTGAAGAGGGATAGAGGGAGGGGGCCACCAGCCTCCCTGAAGATTCATGATGGGAGAGCTGGACACAGCTCCTCTTCTTCCAGGAAGCGCCCGCGCTCCAGGTACTGACGCAAAGAAGCCGTGTGCGGACTGGAGATTGTGCCATGGGTGACAAATGATGGATTGATTTGGGAAAGACATGGAGCCGGGGCCAAAAGTAACACGAGAAACAAAGGCCCTTCCTCTGGCTGTGTCGGTCAGCTTCCAGCTGGCTTGGCCAATCAGAGTGCCAGAAAAGACCAGGTGTGTTTCAATTCCCAGCAGCCACAGGTGGTTACATATAAAAAGGCCCTCAATGGCTTTCGGCAGCACGGTGGGTGTCTCCCATTGCTGAAAGCTTCTCCCCCTGAACTGATCCAAAATCCCTTCCTTCCCAAGCATCTCTAGCAGTTCAAGTAGGGCTACAGACGCTAATATGCATATTTGCATCTCGTTATTATGATTCAGTCACAGGCTTTTGGAGGAATGTTTAAAACTTGAAGGCCCCTTGCAGAGATTACTTAAGTAGGTTACAGAGATCCACTTTTAACATGGAAATGTGACTGTAATTATTTATTATGTGCGGGATAGATACAACTGCGGTGAAAATGCTGTTTAACCAGCATCAGGCATACAAACACACAACATTGTGGGTGATTACAGCCACATCAGACAAGCCGACACCACGGGAAATGCTCACCTATCCAAGGAGATACAGCAGAGGTGCAGGATGGAAGCTGTGGTCAGGAGAACGTCCAGCGAGGTGCGGACCAAGCAGAAGGTGTCTCCGTAGATCCAGTTCTGGTGGATGAGCTCAATGGCGCCGAACGGCATCACCAGCACCGAAACCAGCAGGTCCGCAAACGCCAGCGAGACGATGAAGTAGTTGGTTTTGATTTTTCTGCCCGGAATGGAGAGAGAAAAAGTTCAGACCTTGTCACTACAGCCGTAGCAGGTGTGACCGGTCAGGTCACCGTGTTCCATCTGATTGACAGGAAACGGACCATGGTGAGGAAGACTTGGGTACAGTGAGAGACCTGGGGATTATCTGACACAGCTTGTGATTAATGTTACAGCTCCTCTCCAACATCAGAGGGAACTCCACGGCGGAAGTGAAGTCCCATAAATGCTTGTATCCTCCCCCTTGCTACCCACTCAGCCCCCTGCTGGGAGACACGAAAGCCTGCTGGTCCCAGCGCTAGCTTGTGGCACCTCGGGAGCGCTGTGGGGGGAGAGGCGCTAATGACCATGATAATTACCCAGCCATCCACACAGAAGGAGCACAAATCCCCCACGATGCCCCTCTAACGGCGTGTGGTCAGTGCGTGGGAGACAAGCGTGTCAGATTCGTTACTCGATTCAGTAGGTCGAGCCTGGATGCTTCCTCACAGATAATATGCCATGATGAAAGATGCCTGCAGCCAGGAGGAAGAATCATGCAGATATTAACTGCCTTTTCTGTTGTGGTCGCATCACTAATATCACTCCCTGGTGGATCCTGAGACGGGGTGATTTTAGGTAGATTGCAGCTACACTTCCCACTGCAAGGAGCAGAGATGTCATTACCCAGAAGCCTTTGTGACTCACCTGAGCTGCCGATCCTTGCAAACGGCCACCATGACCAGAAGATTGCCCAGGACGCTCATGAGCATGACGAGGGACAGGAAGGCAATGAGGGCCACTCGCTCCACCAGGGTGTAGCTGTGGAGGCCGTGGGGGGCCTGGTCCACGGGGAGGCTGTGGCGAGGGAGGGGGGACAACCTAGTTAATGAGGTGAAATTTTGAAGCACTACTACATCACCTGGCATTAGGGTTAGGAAGGGGGAAGGAGGCCTTCAGACCCATGGTGGGTGGGGTTACTGCACAGTGTCAGTCAGACCCTGGAACCAATACATTTACCCAATGAGGGTGGAGCCAGTCGGTGATTGACAGCGCGAGATAATCCCTCCCACCCGTGCCATCATTAGCCATCTGCACCTGCTGCCTTTTAACTCATGCACTGTAATTTCAGTTTGTGTAAATCATCCTAAAATGCTAAAGATGCTAAGTGTAAAATCTCCCGACTAGAAACAGCCATGTTCACACATCTTTGTCTTTGCACGCCATTATGCTGACACATTGTAAGGTATGTGAAATTCCAGAGCCTCCACAGTGAGGGATAATGACCTGCCAGGTAAATGGTAAAACAGGGGGCCCTGAATTTACGCTGCGATTCAGCCTGAAAGGGATTACCTACCCCCCCGCCTGTCCACCCTTCCAACCAACTCAGCCACTCAACTCAGCCTTAATTTCATTCTTTTCTCTTACTTAACCCCACTTCCCTTTGCTGCAACCAAGCATATAAATACAAATATATTGGATCTGCCTGTTTTCCCTTCGGTTTGCTGAAAATCCTATACAACATCAACAAATGTCTTTGCATGGAAATGCATTCATTAATGGCATCCTCACAAAGGCCCACAGAAGACACGGGGAAAGAGGTTACGGCAGTCTCTGTAGAAGAATGATCACATGATCACACATGTGTAGGAGCATGTTAGACTTGTAAGCAATTAGCAATCCTTAGTTTGCTTCTCGTTCCCAGGCTAGTGGGTGCTGGTGGCATCTTAGTCTGTTAATTTCCTCATGCTTATTTTGTTTGTTTCCTAAAAAAAATCCATTTTTGGGACATGTGGTAATTTCATACAGTACGTGAATTCCGTTCTTTATAAGCAGCAGCTGATTATTGAAGGGCTTCAGTGACCATAAAGCCTCCTTCACACGAGGATTCTGGGAAAGGGGACGAGGATTGAGTCTCGGTGGTTTTGGAGTTCTCCCATAAAACTACTGCATTTTAACTCGCATGACTGTTAATCCCAACAACTCCAAACACAACAACACTTAGTATCTGTCAGCACAGAGAAGAGCATTTGCAGATCCAGACACACCACAAATGTGACTTCCTGTCAGGTGCCAGGTCTGACAGGTCTCATTTCCTGTCCAGTGGACTGACATGAACATGCTTTGGAACTACTCTTAGTTTTTGGTTTGTTTCTGACTGAAAACACTGGAGAGCCTAAAAAAGTACAATTAGATGAAATCCCTGCTTTTTTTCAGTTTTTAACGGACCTTCCCACCTGACAGGAAGTGGGGGTAAGTCATGTGATCTCCTCTGAGCCACACCCCTCCTTGTCCACCATATTACCCATGGAGCAAGCCCATGGCTAATGAATGCTTAACACATCCAACATGCTCATTTGAAACAACATGATCTGAGTGTATGTGTATGACCAGAGCAAAGCAGAAACAGCCCCTGCAAGTTAGCCTCCCTGTGGCATTGAAGGCACTTTTGCCAGGAAATTTTGGGCTGAAAAATAACTTTAGGCTATTGGGGTGTTTATCACTACAGATATTTGGTCTTGCTTATAGAGAACAATCGCTTTACTTCACTAAGAGTATTTTGATATTATAGTTCTATGTTTGATTTATTTTTCATAATTGTTTTAACAGATTTGTTATTCAGACAATGCCTTTGGATTGCAACTGTCTCTCACTGTGTTTGTGTTTGCAGTTTTAATAATAAATTATATCAAAATAAATTCCCTGCTGTGTCAAAATTGCACTGAACCATGAATCCAAAACCGAGGTTTGTATTTAACTGTGAGTTTTGTGTACCATTACACCCCTACTAAATATACACTAGAAATACACTTAATCGAAATCCTGTCTTGGACATGTGATCACATAGCTTCGGCAAACGTAACCTGCATGGCCACCCTACCGTTTCACACTAGCTATTGCAGAAAGGTCATACTGCAGACTGTCAGTGATTGGTGAGTTATTAATCTTCATTATGGATTCATCTGTATTACAAAACAGCAGTAGGCACAACGACTTCCATTACTTGGTTTATGCTGCCGTTAGCTGTGGCCCAAAACAACTTGGCTAGCTCAGGGCCTGTGCCTCCTCAGGGAAGGACCTGGTGGCAACAAGATCCGAGATCTCGACCTTCCTACAGATTAGTACCAGTTCTGCTGCAGAAGGGGGAGCAGGTGAAACGGCAACATTATCTAAATTTACATTTAAAATGATATTAAATGCTAACTAAATTGGCTCATCTGCATGAAAATGCCAGTTAATTGCGAAGTCTTCCATGAAAGCCTTAAGTCGGAGTTTGATGTTTTATACATTTCTTTTGCTATATTTAGGATGAACACTGAAATTTGACTGTATCCATTTGTCATGCCACCAAAGGGAAGCAGCTGGATCTTCTTCGTCATACCGGTCACCATTGCCCCAGCCAGCTTTGCACATCCAAGACTGAACAGAAACACAAACCAGACAAGATGCATCTGCTTCGCCGTGAAATCTGCCATCCAGCCAATGGCAAAACAACTGTACACTGGGCCCTGGGGCAAAAATGAACCATGGTCTCCCCCTAGGGCCGGCCTATGCCAGTTGCAAATGATGAAATTTAAGTAGCCACCAAATATCATACCCATCATGCACTGCAGTAGTGTGCAAATTACACAAACATGCTTTTTTCGTTAAATACACGCCTCCACAACAGTTTGATTACAAAACATTACAAACTAGTACATTTTAAAAAATTTTAAGTATTCTGCCAAATATTATTTGTGTTATGATTCCCACCATAATGAGATGGTATGAATCAAAATGAGAGATATAAAAGTAGCACATCACAAACAAATATAATATGCATTGCATTACTGCTTTAGTCTTTATGAATGTTTCAGTTAGAAGGGGGCCTGGGCTCTAGTTTAACCTCCTTGGCCGTCTCGCCTACCATTCTGTCCCTGTGTTTTGCTGTCTAGAATCCCACTGGCTGTTTCTTACCAACTAGCCATTAACATTTGTGTTTTGGTCAACTGACTGCTGTTTGAATGGGATATCTGTCGAGGCAGAAAATTGCCATTGGAGAACTAGGCCGGCAGTATCGATATTCCTGGCCTATCTCGCTGACATCTTCTATTATATCTGGATTTAAAGATGACTCAGACTGGCTTAGGGAAGACCATCACAGCTGAATCTTTATGACCAAACTCCCACAGCAATACATATAATTATTGGATTTTTGTTTTCTGAATGTGATGGCAGAATGTGTCAAGTTCCAAACAGAAAAGAGGTTTCTGCTATTGGCAGATGGCTTGAGAGCTCTGTTAGGGGGACTGTCAGGATGCACTAACAGGATGGAGGACTTTCAGAAGCATAAATTGCTCTCCATGGGAATCTACGCTGTCATCCGCTGTACTCTGACCTCATCGTGGACTGATTCTGACAGCTTGTCTCAGTAACTCATATTGATCCATAATTATTTAATGTGTACTTTTTCGCACAGAAAACACCCCACCGCTGCCCCCTGGCTCCAAACCAGAGCCATGGCACCTTTCTGTTGCTGGCATGTACGTCAGCCTGTTTGCTCCCTGTCCTCTCTATGTTGGGTGTAGTGAGCAGCAGGATATGCACTGGTGGCCCAATTTGTGGTGGTAAGCCTTAGGAAAGGCTGTCTGCTTCTGGCAAACAGTCCCAGGTGCCCATAAGAAAACAAAATAGCTCAAGGCTATTTTGTTATCTCAGAAAGACCAAATATCAATTTTCCAACTCAACTAAGCATTTCTGTAGTCTGAACCATTTCTATTCAGCTGGTTTTCCGAGAAATAAACACCCTATAAATATGAATATTTTTAGATGTTATGGTCAGTGTGGGACACATGTATGATCAGTGAAGGTCAGGAGAAGGAGCCTTCTCAAAGAACCTTCAGGGATTCCTTTCTTAGATCCATCTTAGCCTTCTGTTATGCCGACAAAGATCATTTCTCAAGAGAAAAATATGAGAAATGAAAGTTCCACCATTAAGTCTCATCTTTGATTTAGTCATCCAGCCCAGGGCTTTTCAACCTTTCTTAACCCCCCAATGAAAACCACAGAGACCCTCTACCACTAATGCAATCAATTTCCGAGACTGTGGGCCCCGGGCTCCTTCTCTTCGATCCCCCAGGGGGTTGTAGACCCGGTCTAAAGTCCCTGGTCAGACGAAACGGAAGAAATGAGCCATAGAACTCCTACCTCGAGAATCTGCACCAAGCCCATTCCCAAACCATGGTTTTGTTGCGAACTGCTCAGACCATTATTATGAACTTAAGGAGAAGTGTGTCTTAGGCATATGTTCATTAGTGACTCTGCCAAGTATAATTCAGTCACAGAGGCATGAGGCAGTAAAATAAGTCAATATAGGACCCAAATTCCCCTCAAGGATCATGAGCTTATCACGGTGAAGGGCTTTGTCTGCTTCAGTGATCCAGAGAACTCCATCATTGGCAGCTTGGTTACTGGGTCTGTGCGGAGAAGCCAGACAAACCACCAATGACTCCCAAGAAAGATAAGATAAATGCCAGAATATCCAACTCGGTCTAGCTCATTGGAGATTTACTTACACAAAAATGTTTTGAACAAAAAATGACTGGTTCAGAGAGATGACCACAGATTGTAGAGAAGGTGGGTCCAAACAACTAGAGGAGGTGGTCGTGGTCTTTGTCCCAGCCTGCTCTAGTTGCTTGGACTCACCTCCTCTACAATCTGATTGGTCATCTCTCTGAACCAATCATTTTTCGTTCTGCCCTCAGAACATTTTTGTGTAAGTAAAACTCCCACAAGCACTTGGACTACAGTTTGGGACCCATTAGTGACTGCTCGGCTGGGACAGTCATTCAGTCCAGCTGGGTTCAGCCTGAAATAGCTTTTTCGGGTTGGGGGTCAGATGTGGTGCCATTTGGGAGGCATGCATAAGTGGGAAGGACCCAGACGAATCAGATCTTGGCAATAGACTAACTTTGGAGGCATGGGGATGGCGGAGGACCTTGAATTAATGGAATTGGAGGATGACTAAATATAGTGCGTCGTACCTCCATTTATAGTGTGGAGGTACTGGGGGTGAAGTTGCACACCTACTCTGGTGATCCTCATGATGAAAGACCTCAAGTGAGTGTAGGGATGCTCACAAGTCCCCGGCTGATGCCTGTCCAGCTGGGGTTTCTCCCAGCAGGGAAGAAGCCTCAGTGAGACTGTGAGTTGCGGAGACGAAGACCGCGTATACGTGAGGGAGAGTGGAACTGACAGCCGGCTCAGCCCAGCGGCTGAGGCTCTCGGGGCAGGTCCATGGTGGGGAAGTGGGGTCAGAGTCCTTAGATGATGCTCACCTTTTACTGGCCAATGAATCTTTTATGAATACTGCCATAGCGTTAGAAGTTCCTTCAGATAGAGGGCCTGCCTGTCACTGCTGGCTCACCACTGGAGGGATCATAAAGCCCAGTCACGCATTCAGTTTGGTTTTACACCAAAAAATAAGATGACTTTACTTGTATATCTCCCCTAGGGAGTAACACTGAGAGGTGCAGCCTTCCCACCCACTCTCTGTGTGGAGTGTGCATATTCTCTGTGTTTCTGTGGATATCCTCCAGTTTCATCCCACAGTGTCCCACACCTAATGCTCTGTGATGGACTGGCATCCTGTCCAGGGTGTCCCCAGTCTAGTGCCCTTTGACAGATTGGAATCCCGTTCAGGGTCTTCCCGCCATGTTACCTGTAATGGACTGGCATCCCATCCAGGGTGTCCCTGCCTAATAGGGTATAATACCAGGGCCTCACTGCCAGAAGCAGGTAAACTTTCTTCTACTCCAAAGAACTGAAAAGGTCACACGCCAGCAATAATGTCAAAGGTCATGGGTCACAATCCCAGAAAGGCAAACTTTCATTCATGGCTTGAAAGGAAAAAGGATCTGAGAGCCTAAACACATCAGAGTTCAGAGGTGTATCGGGTGCTGCCACAGATACATGCAGGAGCCAAATGGTCGTCATGGAAATGATTCCTTCCCTGCAGGAGGTCCCACAGGCTGGTATGACTCACAGTAGAGCATCACGTGACCTCTGAATGCGGCATTATAAATAACAGAACTGCTCTCCATCAAACTTTGAAATTAAGAATCCTTCCAATAATCCTTCCATTAATACACTCGCTCCCCTGTGTTGACGTGACTCCACCAGATTCCCCATGCATTTTTAAAAATGGCCTCTGTGCTTCCAGCAGATCTGAAGCAAAATAGAAGTTATGGTAGAACTAAGAGGAGCATGAGGACTGCAGCAACTCACATAGCAGATCACATGATCCACAGTTTGTTAAGGCAGCACACGGTGTCCAAACACTGACCGACGCTACCTACTGTCAGGGCAGGACAGCTTAATCAGGATACCTGAGAGCCCTTCTTCCCGCTGGCCTTGCCGACGTCTCCTGGTGAATCACCAGGTGATTGCGGGGCGTGTCCATGTGACACTTGTGACAGCTGCCAGTCACATGTCGGAATAACACGCGACACTCACCCTTATCGTCACAGACTGCGTGCCGCCAGCAGGGACAATTTAAACTCTTCTACAGTTCAAGTTAGCGTTACGATACAGGGTAATAATACTTGCTCTGTTGAAAGAAATAAAAGTGGTTGCCAAGCAACAATCTTGTTTGAAGACACTGTAACGTTAACCTTATCAAAATGATGACCTGCTGTTTAAGAGCCAGGTCTTGCCAGAGCTTGGAAGATACAGTGAACTTTGACCTTTCACACACAAAGCAGACGCTGCTGGAGGTGCCTGGACCGCGTGGGCTCCATGGTCACTCTTACACACCATTAGCCGTGACGGGTCAGGTGACAGGAAGCTGCCCTCAGTACGCTGGGAAGAGGCTGGGGGGGGGGGGGGGGGAGGGGGGGGGGGGGGGGGGGTAGCAAGGTAGCTGGAAATTACAGTGGAGAGCGCATGACTGATGACTGTAGCACAGGGGATGATGGGGAAAAATCCCTGGATACAAAGTGCCAGGAATCCCATACCCCCAGGAATCCAGCAGCTCTCATGGGACAAATCCAACAGCTGATGGGGGAACAAGCCTATACCTCTCCCAGAGTGTGTTAGAGAGTGAGGTCCCCAGACATGCTGAACTCAGTTTTGCGGCATAATCACTCTCAGCTAGACAGAGTCAGTCCCTCCCTCTCTCAGTCAACCAGAGTCTGTCCATCCCTCTCAGCCAATCAGTCAGCCAAAAGTGACTGACACTAAATCTCTGTCCAGCCCTCTCAGCCAGAATCAGCCTATGTGCGACTGACATTAAGAGTCAGTCCCTCCCTCTCAGCCAGTCAGAGCCAGCCCTCCCTCTCAGCCAATTAGAATCAGGCTAAGAGTGACTGACACTAATGCTGCGTTCCATGCACCTCAAAGGTTAGAAATCGGAGCAGGTAATAACAGCTTTGAACATGAACTCGTTATCTGATAGCTGTAGCGCTGTAAGAGTTAACCGCGTTCTAGTATAGTAAGCTGGTAAGTCATTTAGCAATACCAGGGACCCATTCAAAAAGCAAGATTTCTTGCTTAGCCGGACAACTTGTTGGATTTAATTTATCCAAGTTTAAATGGCCTTTATATTTGTTCATTTACATTTAGCTCAGACTACCTTAATTCCGAGAAGTTATTCAGTTAAGCAAGAAATCCTGCTTTATGAAACAGGCCCCAGTTCTAGTTAGGATCATTGTTAGCCATTATTACCAATACCAGTTGATAACAACACATTATGTGGTATTTTGCACGGAATTTCTGAGTTACGGGTTCAAATGGAACAGAGCATTAGACTAAGTTCCTCCCTCTTCACCAGTCAGACTCTCAGATGGCTCTGACACTAATGTAAAAGCCTTGGGTTCTGGGATTGTGGTCCAACAGCACATACTGGACAATTGATAGCATATGGGCACTCATCCCCTGGCACTGTCACACTGGGTATGAGTGTTACCTTTTTAATTAGACAGGCAGCAGGCCCCGAAATTCACCTAGAATGTTTTTCAAATGAATAATACAAGAGAGGGATGGTAGTGAATTTTGTCACCTAGGAAACACTGCTTAAGTAATGATTAAATGCCTTTACTTTGAGTTACGTGATGTCAGGGCAGACCAGTTAGCTTGACCTTCCACACTTCCTGCCTGTGAGGGGCAACGGTTTTCATATGTGTGCAGCATCTCCCAGAACAAGATCTCAGCTGAAGACCATCTGGGTCGAACGGAGGAGGGGAACACTTATGTCCCTTAACACCAATCAAACAGCGAGAGCCTTAAAGCTGCATGCTGTCTGATTCTGGGTCTTGGGAGCCATTTTCATCTTTACTGCCGACTTGCCATATTTTTGATATCAAGATAATTAGCGTCAGGACTAAGGGGACGAGAGTGAGTGGTAAACAAAGGCTATTAACCAGATTAAACTGGAACGGAACTCTGTGACTTGCGGGCGAAGACGGTGCAGGGAGTGAGTGGAAGAAAGGAGGCGATCAATGCACTCGGCACTGTCTGGGAAACTCAGCAGCTTCGGTACAACTCAACCTGTTTGGCAGCTAATGTGAAAATGAGTGGAGAGGACTGGAGGGTGAGGTAGGTGGGGTTTTACAGGAAGCCGGTGTGAAACATGAACTCTTTATCTGACAGCTGTAGCGCGGGAGAGCAATATCAGAGTGAGAGGCCGGCCCAAGCAATCCTGCAGAATCACACACTGTGATTAAACTTTGTTTAAAGTCTTTATCCTGAAACATTGTTCCTTTAAAAAAACCCTTCCATACTAAAAGGAAGAAATGTCTCCATTCAAAAGATTTGTGGGGAAAGAGAGAGGTTCTGATGACATTTCTGAATTCAGTTACCCAGGTTTCTGGGACAAGGCCGTTAGCTCTGGTATCGGCAGAGATCCTGGGGAAAGCTCAAGGCAACATTCAGCATCTCATCCCATCAAATCTGACTTGTATCAATTAAAACTTCAGTTCCCTTATCAAAAAAAGCTCAGGATCACTGACTGCAAAGTGGCCACAAAGGCTACAATATTCTGTTCTGTGTACAAGAAGTAAGGAGACCAAAGGTCACAGACACAGACAGCTGGGTACAGGAAGTAATGAAACAGAGGATCACAGATGTCTGTGTACAAGAAGTAGGGATACAGAGAATCACAGAAGGCTGGGTACAGGATTTCAGGATACCGAGGATCACAAATGGCAGTAGGGATACTGAGGATCACAGACGGCAGTGTACAGGAAGTAGGGATACAGAGGATCACAGAAGGTTGGGTACAGGAAGTAGGGATACAGAGGATCACAGAAGGCTGGGTACAGGAAGTAGGGATACAGAGGATTACAGAAGGCTGGGTACAGGAAGTAGGGATACAGAGGATCACAGAAGGCTGGGTACAGGATGTCAGGATACCGAGGATTACAGAAAGCTGACACGGAAGGTTCAGTGACTAATCCATGACAGCTTGTTAATTGTCAACAATGAGGAAGAGAAATTTCAAACAAATTGTTACACATATGGCTCCAATCCAAGGCAGCCGACTGGGTAACACAGCACAGTGTCCAACACTGCAGTGGGAAGATTTGAGCAAACAGCTCCCTACATCAGCTGTACTGGCACATAAACGACATGCCATACACAAGGGGGCATGGGGGAGTGGACATGCTGTCATTCCACTAATCTGGGCCAAATGTACAAGAGAAACTGTTCACTTGAACTTAAAGCCCTGCTGCGATGAGGTTGGCTTGCTTACCTCTCATTGATTTCAGCTTGGTCCATCACAGGCAGCAGGTCTGGCTGTCCTACACTCATGTGCCCATGGACACGCTGGGTCCCTGAAAGCAAAGAGGATGAGGAGTTACAATAGGTACAGCAGACAGGGAGGATCCATCCTGAGGGAATACAGCAGACAGGGAGGACCTGCCTCGAGGGGGGTGCAGTAGACTGGGAGTATTCTGCCCCAAGGGGGTACAGAAGCTAGGGAAGATCTGCCCTGGGGGGTGCAGTAGACAGGGAGAATCTGCTCCAAGGGGGTGCAGTAGACAGGGGGAATCTACCCCGAGGGGGTACAGCAGGCAGGAATGATTTGTCCTGGGGGGTTGTAGCAGGCAGAGAGGATCTTCCCTGAGGGGGTGCAACAGACAGGAAGGACCTGCCCCAAGGAGGTACAGCAAACAGGGAGGATCTGCCCTGAGGAGAGAAGGCATAGCAGATATGGAGGATCTGCCCCAAGAGGGTACAGCAGGCAGGTACAGTAGGATCTGCCCCAAGGGGGTACAGCAGGCAGGTACAGTAGGATCTGCCCCAAGAGGGTACAGCAGGCAGGTACAGTAGGATCTGCCCCAAGGGGGTACAGCAGCTAGGGATGATCTGCCCTGGGGGATGCAGCAAGAAGGGAGGATATGCCCCGGGGGTGTAGCAGGCAGAAAGGATCTACATCGAAGGTGTGCAGCAGCCAGGGGGAATTCTGCCCGGGGTGGGGGGGGTACTGCCAAGTAGGAAGACGGCAGTGTGTGGAAGAGGGGAGACTTAAGGAATTTCTCATGCCATCCTGTCAACGGGACAGCAAGAAAAAGCCTCCGTGTATGTCTGCGTATGCATAAGCCTGAGCGTGGGTGTGAGTGTGTTTATGAGTGCGTGAAATTTGATTTACACGGAGAGAATCACCCACAGATGAGGGATCTCCTCTACGAGCTCCACAGGCAGAAACAGCAATGATCAGATGGCACACCGCCATATCTCACAGTGAAGGAAACCAGTGGGGGTTACTCAGCATAGCCTGCGGCCATCCTCAGGGATCACACACCAAAATACAACAGGCTTCGCTTTCCCATAGAGCATGTGAAGCTTATAGACGCAGGCATCTAATGGATCCTGCGAGAACTCAAGCACCAATGAGAGGTTGACTGCAGCAACGGGGAGGTTATGGAAAATGCCAGCAGGCATAGACAGAATGAACGTCCGGGGAATAAGCTGCCTAGAGTCACATGTCCCTGTACAGCTGGACCGCAGATCTCCGGCCGTCCAGCCGGAGCAGAGGAACCCCAGATGGAGAGCTGAGCCTGGACGTGAGCTTCGTCCAGCTCCAGGTGCATTCCTGGCGACCCGCTGGGGTCTCAGGTAGGACATCCTGCTCACACCGTCTGCTCGCACAGAACTGGCACGCCTGCCGGCCGCTAAGGACGGCTAGAGACACTGGAACAGAGTGTCAGCAGTGTGACGACGGTCGCTGGCCGGAAAAGCAGCACGTTTCCATGAGATATGTAAATCTCTTCCTCTCCTGGCAGGCAGCTCGCCTCTCCATCCATGCACAGACTCTCACTCTCGGCTGCAGAATCTAACCAGACTCCCAGGCTGAAGGATCCAGTCCCACCCTGGGGTCCGAGTCAGGCAGCAAGGGCATTTCAGATACCCCAGGAAACAGGCCAGGAGGTGTGATCTTTAAACATCTCCTGTCTCGCATGAGCAGTGCTGTACAAAGGCTGGACTGTTTCTCTTTGGGATGATGTCTTATTGTTGACATGGAGCGTAACCCTGTTGAGCTAAAATTTACAGGATAAAATGTCAAGTTGGCTAGACAGCACATGATGAATGGACGCTAACCGACACAGTCCTCTTGTTGCTCTTTGAGCCAGTCATCTAGTCAGCAGTAAATCAATCTGTGTGAATTACCGGACAATGATTTCCTTCCTTCACACATTAAATACTGACAGTCTGACACTAATGTCGACCTTGCATTTGTGTATCAATCACAAAATTATATTTTTTATTCCTTCCTTTGAGTCTGTGTCACTGAGGACCATAGCATCATCATCCTTTTGCAAAGTACTACAAATAAAAGCCTGCTTGCTCTCTATGTACATGCGTGAAGACCTGGGGGGAGTCTTCAGTTCAGCCAGCCAACAGAAAAAGTGTAAATATGTCTGAAATACCGCTACGGATCACACTGCTCTCAAGGAAAAGGAAATGCAGACAGTACCAGCCACTCCCACTAAGAAATACAGAGGGGGTCCTGACCTTCACCAGTGGAGGGCGCATCCGTCACTCAACAAAGCCTGCCAATTGCTTGGTTTAGGGAAGGGGTCAGTATTACTGTGATCTACCAATCATCCAAGGGGAACCTATAAAGTGACCAATGGGAAACAAGTCTACCAACTGAGTCAGAGCCAAATATAAATAATACTTATGTATGACATTTAAACCACGTGCAATTTGATGTTAGGAATACAAACGACACAATGTCGGACAGTGGCAGTGCTAATCAAAACCATCCAGCTGGGAAATCGATGTCGCACTTATATCTGCTCCTCAGAAATGGAAAGTAAATTTAATTCCAACAAATGCTGTAAAACGATAAAGTTATTTCACAGTCTCTGTGATTTGAAAGGTGCCGCTGATTAGGTAGCTCGAAACCTTTTAAAAGATTAAACAACAGGGAGAAATCAAAACGACATCAGTGCCATTATTAGGAGGAGAAACGGAAGAAGAACCTAAGAGGGCTTTCAGAGGTTCAAGATGCACGTTATGTAACAGTGTAATTAGCAGACAAGGCAGTTACACCCCTGATGTGAACATTGGAGTCGGTTCGAATAGAGAAACCCTGGCAGATACGTCTCATTCTGATTACGCCATGGAATTTCAAAGAATAAATGGACAAAGTTCACCCAAATGATCAGGGCGCCCAAAAACGGACATCTAAAATGTGACTAGACCTTTTTTAGCACGCACTTCTCTCCTGAAAATGGAAGCTGAAAGAATTTAATTTTGGTATTGGGCCTCTCTTCAGTGGAAAGGATAAAATGGACACAGACACAGATATTGATTTGTCAGTGGAAAGCGCCGGCTGAACGTGCAGTGAGGAAAAAGATAATGTTAGCGGGGCAAATGCTATGCTGGGCTGAGGCCTCAGCAGAAAGGGGAGACGGAGCTGACACTGCTCTGCAGGCCGCTGCTCCGCAGGCCGCTGCTCCACACGGCGAAGAACGACACCCACGGGATCAGGGGACGGGCTGCTTTTAAACTTTGCCTCATCTAAGCGACAGGGCCCGCTAATAGAGTCGCATCTGCTTAAACTCCAGCGGGCCTGTCAGCCAGTGACGTCGCCTGAGGAAATCCGGAGCGCCGGTGATTCATTCCCGCTGCCCCGCCGTCCCGCCAGGCTGCGTTTCTCCTGACAGCGGGAGCCGAAAAACATATTCAAACATCTTCTGCTATAAATGTTTGCAATGGGGGAACGTTGCGGATCCTCATTCGGAAACTGGGCATTAAGGACATGTGCTTTCTTTGAGGTGTGCTTAGCGTGGCAAAGCTAGCCACACAGACTAACAGGAAGCAGGTCTGTGTCACACTTGGCTTGTATTTTTATGATGTCTTGTTCACATCTTCTGAGATAATAATTATTCAAAGCAGGCCATTAAAGCAGAGTCATGATGACAGAGTGAATACGGTTAACTTCCTGACCTCTCAAAGCCCCTTTACGTCTCCGGAACACCATTACACCACATCAACTACATGTCGCTTGACGGTTGGCGTTTCGTCCATATTGAACATAAATATTCATATTATTAATTTCAACACATTCAGTTTGTCCTTAATTTCTCTGCCATATAGTTGAGCAAGACAGGCAGCACCAAGGTTTACATTCCTGAGGAGAATAACGAAGAGTTAACGTTTTTTTTTTTTCTCTGCTTCAGTTGGAAAAATGTAAACTTGCGTTCAGTTTCCACTTCCCTGTGAGAGTATCTCGAGATTCCTGGAAACCGACATCGTGGCAGCAGCGTCCTGTCCCCAGGAGAGGGATGACTGTCACCATGCGGCGACGGTACACACAGTGCCGCACTGCCACCGTGTCCATTCGGCTGACGTGAACTGCACAGGAGCGCGAGCTGGAGAGAGGCGGCATACCACATGAGCGCCGAGTGTCCCGCACATCATAAGAGCTTAGCACCACTGAGACTGTGACTGACAGCAGAGCGGGGTACACCTAGGATTTATAAAGGCACCAGATACAAGCCCTTCAATATGAAATACTTAAGGGCCATCTAGGTGTGAAAAACAGAAGAGGCTGGTTTGAGGAGGACGCTTATGGACTTTAGCGATTTATCATGGGTTCCCAGAAACAATCAATGGGTAAAAAACCTGGTTTGAAAGGTGCGAAAATACTGAGACAATGTGAATGACTTTTTACGGGAGAGTGCCGCGTTTTTAAAAGAGGTCCCTGACCTGCTCTGATCAGACGGAGATTTCCATGTTATCTGCTGCTTCCCTCACGCTCACCGTAGAGGACGTTAGAGAAACATCAAACGTGCCACATTTTAATACACTCTGATTGGTTGAATCAGTGTATAATGAAATCAAGGAGAAGAAGATAAATCAAACTCAGCCAGGCGTAAAAGTGCAGAAGGTGTCCAGCTCCCTGAAATAGCTACAAGATCTTGGGTGATGAGTTTAGGGTGCCGCATGTTGGTCCGCGCAAACCGGTCGTGGTGCAATGCGTCAAAAAAGCTTTAAGAAACTGGTGTCCGCCTGAGCTTCAAGGGGACCCAAAAATTGCTGATGGGGAACTCAGGGTCACCCAAATTGAATGTCAAATTTATTTATGCCTTAATTTTCAAAGCAGGCTTTTGAGGGTGACGCCCGAGACGACCTTGGTCAGGTGACTGCAAGGGCAGATTAAGCCATTCCTACGGATGGGAGTGACAGCAGGAGCAGTGGATGAAAGGAGGTGCCCTGCTTACATCCATGGGCTCGTTTAAGCTTAATGGGAGTCAGAGGAATAAATGGTTATATTTGGGAGAAGGAGAGGACCCAGCTGGACATTTTTCATCAGATCTGA